TGGTACCTGCACTGACACCAACAAGCTCCATCCAGCCAGTCACAGCTGTCTGTGCTCCAGCTACGTTGGCCTCTGTGGTACCTGCACTGACATGCTGCATTCATTAGAGTGACCATTCCCAATCCTGTCTTTTTGACATACTGTGTTCACCTCCTTTGCTGCTAGCAAATACAAACGGCATAAGTGTCTTAGTGATGTTTGTTAGATATTTCTGTTAGTCTTTCCCTGTCTGCAGTGTTGGTTGTTCTGTTTTATTACTAATTATTTTGTTTATTACTAGCTATTGCTAATAATCTCTTGCCCAAATTATAATTTATAAATTAAACTTTGATAATTATGGATATGTAGGAGGAAAATTTGGAGTGCATAGAGTAGCAGTGTCTGAGTTTCAGGTACTGACTGGCGTATTACATTGTAACTCCACAGTTCAGGGGAGACTGCTTAAACACACCTCATGTGCTAGGTATACATGCCATTGAAACTTCTCTAAGACCTTATCTTTGCATTGTGGTTTTATTTTCATAGTATATGTGTGATTCATATTCAGCATATGTCTGAGTGCCAGTTAAAACCAAATGCAGTTATCTGTAACTTGGGAGAAACTACATTTGTGAACATAGCAGATAACAAACACAAACTATCTGATGGGTAACTTAGAACAACTTTGGAGTAGTAGAGGCAGGAAAGGACCAGCTGATAATGGGTATAAGCAGACTGTAGCCTGCAGTAACAGTCTACATTCATTGTGACCCAGGTGTGAGTCACCTCAGACACATGAAGAAGCATCCACTAGGAGAAACTCTTCCTCTATCACACCATTCAACTACTGGAAGTATTCATAATCATTTTTATGGTTAAACTCTATGTATCTTAGTACCTTTAGCTGCTACAAAAGCTTTGCTTCAAGGAAAACACACATACTTCCTACAGTTGAGGACCATAGGACCTGTTGAAGACTGCACCCACTTATATGGAAGTTTCACATGTCATAAAGATGAACCATTATGGATATTCAAAGGTGAATTTTTTCCATCTCAAGATCCAAGGAGGAGGACCTGGGATGGATAATGGAAGAAGCATAGGGAGAATCAATACTGGAATTATACAGATTAGTTAATTGGATATATAGTAGAACAGGAAATGAATGTCATTCTATTGTTGAGAAAATATAAAACAGAAGACCGTGGAGGAGATGGTTGTTAAGGAGTCTGGGAGATGTGGTAACACATCCTGAATGCTGGTTATAATTTAAAAGGGTTTTCATCATTTCTTTTGAACTTACCAGATCTATTTTCTTTTAATAGACAACCGGAAAGGGCAGTGTGTAGAATCCAGTCTCACCAAGCAAATGCTGATTTTTCTTTTAAGGTAGTACAGGAAAACCACTGAGCTAGTTAATGTAGGCACATAATTGACAGTTTCTGCCTTGTGTGGACTTCAGCAACAAGTCATTTAACTTTTCTACAGTTTAATGACTGTTAAAAAAAAAAGTAGGGGTTTTTAGGCCAGTGGAACTACTCAATGATATATATGATCATAGTGGCTTCACATTATACATGTCCCAAAGCCCCGGGTTATATAGCACCAAGATAACTAAGGTGAATGTATGATGTTGGAGTCATCAGGATGTGGCGTCTAGGTTCATCAGTCACTGTGAATGTCTCACTCTGATAACGGAGACGCGGGTAGAGGACTCGTGTATGTGCCAGGTAAAGGACCTAGGGGAAACTCCCTGTCTACTTTCCATGGTCTCACTGTGAATTCAAAACCAGTCTGAAAAATGAAGTCTGTCTTTTAGAAGTAGAGATAGTACTTTTATGATTTAAGAATCAAAGAATTTATATACAGAAATATTTTCCCCAGTTCTAAGTTGTCATATATTGGTATTATGTAATTATTTTTCATTCAGAAGGGAAACAAACATCAACATAATGTAAAACATTGATAATCAGACTTTTTTTTTTTTTTTTAACTATTTTGAAATTTTGCTTGCTGATGAATGAAGGTTGTGATCTGTTACTATTTTAAATACAAGATTGTCCTCTGGTTCCCCCAGGGAGTATATTACCAAATTGGTGATGTCGTTTCTGTGATTGACGAGCAAGATGGGAAGCCATACTACGCTCAGATCAGGGGCTTTATTCAGGACCAGTATTGTGAGAAGAGTGCTGCGCTGACATGGCTCATCCCTACCCTCGCCAGCCCCAGAGACCAGTTTGATCCTGCTTCATACATAATCGGTAAGGTGCAGTATCTTACATTTGGTTAATTCTTCAATACATTATAAACGAATGTGCTAGTCTGTGTGAGCTGTCACATGGCAAAATGTCACAGACTGGGGCTTGAGCAACAGACTGTTCTGAAGGTCAGAAGTCAGCTCTGGGTGCTGGGACCATGAGCGTGGATGAGGCCTTGCTTCCTGGCTTGCAGATGGCTGTCTGATTGCTGCCTCCCATGGTCTTTGTTCTCTGTGTGCACACCGAGAGAGTGCTCCGTTGTCTCTTAGAAGGACACCAATCTTATCAGACAGGGGCTCACTATTTTTTTTAAGTTAAAATGCAATTATATTTTTTCCTTTTCTTCCTCTGATCCTCTTATGTACCCCACCCCATTCTTTCTCAAATTTATGGTTCTACTTCTGTTACTGTTAATTGTTTAATTATTGTATATATTAATGTATATTCTTACATTCATGAATACAACCTGCTGAGTCCTTTTTATATTACTTTATGCATACAACTTCAGGGCTGGTCACTTGGTAATAGATAACCAATTTGGAGATAGGGGTCGTCTTCGTTACTGTACTGTTGCTATGAGGAAACACCATGACCAATTCCCTCTCAGCATTTCTTAGTTGCCTGCAGTTCTTTATTTGGAATTGAGGGAGCCCACTCTTTTGCTATTATTTGCACGGGGTTACCCCTTTGTAATGGTCCCATCTGCAGCACATAACCATATAAACATAGACCATCAGCATGTGAAATTAGGTTTGGGAACAAAGTTCAATCCAGAATTTAAAAAGGCATAAATATCATTACGTACAAAAAGGAAAGAGCATTGTAAGAAATACAGGGACATTTTACATAGTTGATATTTGGATGTCATTTGTTACTATGGGCTAGAACAGTGTGTATTCACTAACGTGGGTAGAATGTGTTTGTATGACCCAAGAATAAACTGTATGAAAAGAACTACACAAGAGTCTAGGTTATATAGAGGACCTATAAAATTACTCAAAAACAATTTCTAAAAGAACTTTCCTAATTATTTCTAAAACCTATAAATTCTCAGTATACATCCTTCTGCACAGCATACATGATATCTTATTCTTTAAAAAAAATCGTTGATTGTAGAAATGGGATACTGTACTGGGTTGATCATTTCAAGGTATTCAAAACATAGAGTACAACTAAGTCTTGACAGACTCATAAAAAATGACCGGCTAATATAATTTTGAAAGTTCAGTCTCCTTCAGTTATTTTGTACTTTTATTTTTTCTGAATTGGGCATGTGTTCATTTTGCATCCCAAAGGGAGTGACATTTCTCTTAGTGAGAACCCCGAGGACAGCTAACATCCCATGTTATTCTCATTCACTGTCAAGCTTGTCGGGTATGACCAAACAGTTGTCTGTGTTTGTAAGTATGGAACATCAGAGGCCATGATATTCTGAATCGTTTCTAGGCTCTTTTCTCACTCCTTTTCATGATCCTCCAAGTCCTGATGCTTCCCTGCCTAGAAGATGTCACATGGTGTTCAGGTCGGAGCACAAGCTCTGGACCAGACTACTGGATTCATAGGCCCCTCTCCCCCCTTGCCTGCTGGCTAAGGAACTTCACCAGTCCTTAATCCGTCTTTCCTGAGTGTGCCTAGATGTGAAATTGGAAAAAATAGAGCCCTGGGAGGAAGTTGTGAGGATTCGAAGTGTGGGTATATGTAAAGTACTTAGAACACTACAGGCCTTTCTTAAACTACATAGATACTCAATATTTTAGGACCCTTTCTCAGTTGAGCACTCTGGGAGGATGCTGTATTCCTTAGTCAGTTGAGTAGAGATAATGGAGTGTAACTTCAGAGAAACACATGTTCTGAGGCTAACATCAGGTAGGTCATACAAGAGCATTTCTTCTTAGTGTCTACGAATGCTAACATTTTATAAAGATGACACCTGTGTTCAAAACTGTATTTACTATTTCACCGGCTGCCCCTTAGGGCCAGAGGAAGATCTTCCAAGGAAGATGGAGTACCTGGAATTTGTCTGCCACGCGCCTTCTGAGTATTTCAAGTCAAGGTCATCACCATTTCCCACAGTTCCTACCCGACCAGAGAAGGGCTACATATGGACTCATGTTGGACCTACTCCTGCAATAACTATTAAGGAAACAGTTGCCAACCACTTGTAGTTACAAAACCAAACCTGGGGCATCCCTACTTAGCAGGTATAAAGCTTCAGTTTTAATCCTAGAACATACATACGTGTCCCAAAATAAAGCCAGACTTCCAGTTTTCTTATAACAAGATATGCCACACATTTTTCTGTTTTAAAACTTTTTTTCTTTAATTTTTTTAGATATGGTCTCATATGTAGCCCAGGTTGGCTTAACTTTGACATCCCCCTGCCTCATCCTCCTTGAGTGCTGAACTACAGGTGTTACACCATAGCTAGTTAATGCCAGATACTTCATGAAGTTCTGACATGGAAACATGACTTGAGAACAATTTTATACTACTACCCAGTAATTATATTACCTTGCTTAGTACCTGTTGCTTAGAAAATCACAGGGTGAAAAAAGAATGAATTGAAGTAAAATGCTAAATTTAATGTGTATTTTTCCAGGCAAAGTCGCAGATTCCAGGGATATCATTATAAACATGTAGTGTCTATTTTTCCTCATAATTTATTTCTAGGAACTCATAAAATGAATTATATTTTTATAGGCACAAAACATTCTTAGATTTTTTTTCTTTCTTCCTTTTTTTTAAACCCAGGATCTCACTATGCAGTCCTGGCTGTCCTGAACTCATTCTATAGACCAGACTGGCATTGGACTCAAGAGATCTGCCTGCTTCTGCCTTCCAAGTGTTGGGACTAACGGTGTACACCACCATGCCAGGCTTAAGTTTCAGATTTCTGATCAAGAACTAAACCAAAATGTGGCCAGTATGTCTTACAAACCCAGTCTTTTTCCTTCTGTAGAAGCAGACCTTGCTGCTTTAGTCCTACAGAAGGCAGCTGGTGGGTGACTGATTAGCCCTGGCTCTTTACACTTTCATCCCATGCCTTTGCCTGTCAGCATCAGCTGCTTCTGTGAGACTGCTTCAGCCAGGCCTTTGATCTATCTGCATACAGTACAGACATCCCCTCCTTCCTCTGTGAAGGTGGCCTGGCTGTTGCTAAGACAGGGACTGGTGACTGGCTATCTCGAAAGTGACTGAAAGTTTTAGTTTTGATAGTCAAAAGACTCAAACTCAAACCATGAGCTGAGAGCTTGGATGGTGTGCTTTTGGCTTGGGAAACCCTGTCATATAGGCTTCAAGTGCAGTTTGGTCACATGATGGCGGGAAGTGGGCCTCTGTCCTGATCTATCCAGACAGACATTTTTAGCTGTAGGAATTTATGAGAATTTCACATGATCTTAATGATTTTCATCAGAACTCTTTTACTCTTTTTCTTTAGTCCCAAGGTTGGGGAAAAGCATCTTCGTGCTTATATAAGGTAATAAAGTTCATTGTAAATATTATTGGAAAAGATTTTCTAAACACTAATATTCCAGTTTTTGATTGAAAATTATTTTCACCATGGGTTTATTTTGGATTTTAAAATTTAACTTAAACTACTTAAAAAGGAAATGGGATGCTTCCCCCAAGATGGTGTTAAATAGAAACATCAATCTTTTGGTTACATGATTCACCTTACAGTGAAGAATAACATAGTCCTACCTAGGGAGTTCACAGGATTTAGTTTAAATGGTGACCCTGGGCCCACTGACTTAGGGGAGACAACTCTGGGAGTCTGCTGTCCTACAAGGCACAGCAGATTTCATATATGCTGTGAACCAAAACCACAACCCTAATACTAGAACTGGAGAAACTGAGGGAGGACTTATTAGAGTTTAAAAGAAAAACTGCAGGGCAGGCAAGCTGTAAACTGCGGCAGCATCCAAAAGGAAGAGACAGAAAGTTTTCTGAGACCTGGCAGCCAGTTAGTTATCAAGACTGCAGACAGGCAGGCATTCTGCGTGTGTACCCACCCACATGCAGTCTCACACACCTATATATTTTAATTTACTTCCTCTGTCTTCCTTTTCCAAAGCCAATTACTAGATATTAGAGATACTGTTTGTGTTGATCGTGGCATACTTTACAAGTTAGTTCACGGATTATGAGAATATCAAGATAAAATCAAAGATTCTGGACTGGGGGCTGGATCAAGAGCCTTATCAGGCTTTGGTTGAAGGGATTAAATTTATTTGAATTATGAAAAAAAAAACCCCATATACATAAAATTTATAAGAATAGTAATCATAATTTTTTAAAAAAAGTCTTCAAAGAAAACACTTTACCTTCAGCCTTCACGCACATGTATACATGTAGTCACACATATAAACAAATGATTTATAGCA